ACCCAGCTGGCACGTCTGAGTTTGAGTCTCAGTTCTCGACGTTGACGGAGGATGGCGGTGTTGTGCCGCCGTTGGCGGCTAACCAGGACCCCAAGGCGTCCCAGTCCGGCAACAACTCCATCTATGGGCGCCCCGAGTTCCTGGCGCCGATCGTTGTTTTGGCCGGAGTGGCGTTCGTGTCGCTCACTACAGCGTTGTATTGTCGGAAAAAGCGTAAGCGAAGAATTTCGAAATATTTCATTCGATCAAGGTTTCTTTTCCTCTGGAGTCACAACTTGAATTTTTTTTAATGACGAGCAGATGTCGCCTGAATCACGCATTATTTTCGACCAAATTAATAAGGTGGAACCTTGAGCAAAACATTTATAATCTGTTTCAGTAAGTGATGCATTGCTCAAAAACTTCGCCATGTAAGACATAATTTCTCTTAGAAATAAATGTATTGGTTCCAGCACAAAAAAATAAGCAAGTTGTTATTATGATATAAATGAAAGAAAAAATCCCAAATAATGATTTGAAAACCTCAGCTGATAATGCATTTCGATTGAAAATGACTGAGAGCAGGTGCATTGGAAGCACAAGGTGAAATCAGATTTCACGAAAATCCGAGTTGTTGTAAGCGTATAAGTTTTGCATTTTAATTATGCAATTGCTGCGGTTCAATCATAACCAGAATAACAACAGCGGGAAATCTGAAACCTAAAAAATAGTTATTCAAAAAGGAATCATTGACAAATTTGAATTGGGTCTCAGCATAAAGAAACGCTCAACTTTTACAGAACATCTGGATGTAACCCAACAAAAGTAGGGATGTGAAACTTAACCTATCAATCTCCTTACCTGACGAAACACCCAATTTGACAGAATCTAAAAAATTCTTTAAAAAAATAAATTTCGCTTGGAATTTTGTACCTAACCATGACGCGCAACTAATTTTTTGCCCAGGAAATTCTTTGAAAAAAAAAAAAAACGTACGCGTGGTACTCGACTAAATACGGGTTATCATTACTGATGACCCACAATTAGAACTGAAGTTTGATATATTATTCATTCCAGGGGTTCGAGTCGACAGGAAGCCAGAATTTCTGGCTGAAGGACACCTCATGGACTCTCAGGGAAGACCGTGTCGCGAGAACTCCTACGGACTGAGTTTCGATTACCCCAAGCACATCCAAAAACCACCCCCAGGTAAGGTTTTCAATTTCAGCGATCCCTTCAGGGATCAAATATTTGTAAAAATGGGATATTTTTCTCCCCGTTACAGGGTACAGCGACGTGAACCCTTACGCAACCTTCCAACTAGCCCTACCAAACCAACAACAGCAACCGCAACAGCCGCCACAACGAGATCTGAGTTTTGGCTCTTCCTACTTTGGCAACGAATACAATGGCAATAATAGTTATCAACAATCAGCCAGAGCCGAATTTGTGTACTTTGATCCGAAGGCTGCCAATATGGAAACCTATCCCTTGCGACACGTGAGTGTTGGGTATAATAGAGGGTATTTTTTGCCCGAAAGAACCAGGCTTATCATCATGCGCATTTTGATTTGGAAAAAATTTATACATTCGTCCTAATCACATATCCAATCCCAATCATGTATTCTCACTTCTGATATCATCAAAGTTTCATAAACGGAGTCCGAGTTGTAAATGTTGGAAAAATTATCTGTCCAATCGTCTGATGTGTGACTATGAGTGATATCACTTTGTCGAATGATTCAATTATTTAGCCCAAAACAGGATCAATTTCGATATTGCCAGCTAGTGAACCACCTTTGTTTTTTTCTGAATGACCTTAGGAGAAAATTTCGTTTGAAGATGCGAATTTCATCGATTTGCTGAGCAATATATTTAAAACTCAAATGAAGAATGCAAAAAATTATGCTCAGTTTAGAGGCGCGTCGTTTAAACAGCTACTTAATTTTAGGAACGTCAGCAGTCTAACAGTTTTTTCAAGATTTGCACCGTGAATTTTATTGAGTTTCCCAAGATTTTTTTCAGTTGGATTTTCATTCGAATAGTTATTATAATACATTTATAATTTCAGACCCGCCAGGTCTTATCAACAGCCCGATCTAATTTTAAAAATATTACCCATTCTTCCTGAATTTTTCGATGTCTGTAAGTGTGCTGAAGTTAGCCCGAAAATCAAATACATTTTATGGAAATTTGATAAATTATACAGGTAATTTTCGTGAAAATTTTCAGGAGCATAACCTCGTTAAATCTGGGACGTCAAATTGCGTCATGCAAGCAGGTGGACTTGGATCCAGTCGAGGTGAGGAAATTTTTGGCAAGCTTTTCCACACGTCATCGCATTCATTTTTGAAATTCCATAAACAGTAATTTTCTGCATTTCCGCAAGATTATGTCACGGGCGAATTTAAAGCCGAAATTTTTGTGAAAGTGGCTTGTTGGTCGCAGAATAATTTGGAATACTTTGGGAGCGATACGCGTATACACAGAAACATGGTAATCCCGGTAATGCTTCCGGTCTTAAACAAATTTCAAAACTTAGGATATGAAAGAAAGTTCTGAGAGCAAAACATTAAAGGATTTCCATGGCGGTGAATGAGTTATGACTTATGAGTGAGTAATGAGAAAGTTCCAAGCTTGAAGTGAGGAAATCGAGAGTTTTTGATTATAAATTTTCAAGATATCTAGCTGGATATTTTGAGTACCAGTCCCATTTGTTAGACTCGTCCTGTCCCAGCAGAAACTTGTAATTTTTAAAATTTATAAATTCATTCTTCCCCAGATTTATCATTGTCAGGAGACGAATTTCATGAATTCTAAGGTCTTCCGCAAGCTTTAAATTTGAATCAAACATGCCAATAAGTCACAAAAGTCAGATAGAAAAATTCTCCGTTGAATGTTTATCCTTGGGCGAGTTTCAATTTCAAGCTACTCTTGCATATTAATATTATTCGAAGGCCGAGGAAGACGAGTATTCATCATATTAATCTTTGCTCGATTCTGTTGAATAGAAATTGAAGCTCCAATATACAGTATAAGCATTGGGTCGTCATCAAAAGAGTTCTGTATCGTTTTGAATAGATTATGATGCGATGTCAGCTGCGAGTGATTCGGATCTCGAATCGAAACGAGGTCGCTACAATAAATGTGCATCCATGGATCGTCGTAATAAGAGGTCATCTTCTAGCAAAGCTCAAAGCAGTTCCTTCAGGATCGCCTCAGGTGAGAAAATAATCCCCTCGCCTCTTCGATAATAATTGCAGATTATTTCGCAGATCAATGTCATCATATTTCTGTCACAGGTTCAAGGGGATGCATTCCTTCAATACACGCAAAGTTTGACACGATCACTTATTGCAATCTGAGTTTCTCGAAATTTTCAAAATTTGCAGGATTCCTCGAATGGACAGTTTTACTAACGAGTGTATACATATACGAACGACAAATAAACGGACCCTTTTACAATTAACAAATCGCCCTTATGTATAACATGAAGCAAAAAGCCAGTCATTAGTGCATTTATATTTTCTTGCTGAAACGATGAAAGCTTTTTTTCCTTCTCTGATTTAAAAACTATAATTTTTACAGATTTTCTGGGTGCTGACCCAAGAAGTTTTGAAAATGTATGAAAAATTGAAATTAGTTTTTAAAATAGTCTATTTCGTGGAGAGCATGCAAAAAATCCGTCAAATTTAGACGGAATTTCGAACAAAGCATGCTATTCAATTGAATCCCAATTTCCCTAAATTAAAAATGCGGTGGCGAAAATCACGACCAGGTGAAAAATATTAAACAAAACCATGATTTTCGCTGTATCATGGTATACCTATACCTAGCTGGTCGATACAGAAAATCACGACCAGGTGAAAAATATTAAACAAAACCATGATTTTCGCTGGTTCGAGATTTATGGCAAAAACATATGGAAAATGATCTTCCAGGTGAGAGACGACGATGACGTTCATTTTTAAATTTTGACGAGAATTTAAAGGAAAAATTTTAGAAATTTCAGCGAGGAAACCATTCTAATCCAAAAAAAGAATCTTCAATATTTTTCCATTATTTTCAGAGAAATTTTGACTTATTTCGAGTGAATGTTGAACAACGTTTCTCCATGCACGGGAGAAATTGGTCATTGATCAGTTGTCATTTATTACTTAAACTCAAAAAATTATCGAAAATGCTCCACGTTTGCCATTTATTTTAGTTTCTCCAACACCTACGTCGTAGCAAGAGCATTTTCGAATACATTTATTTTTCCAGATCTTTTGATTATAAAATCTTCAGTTAAAAACATCGTGAATGAATTCAATTCAATTGTATCGAAGATGTTCTTCTGTGCATTTCTTTTCGAAAGCTGTCGAAAAAAACCGCATAAATTGCGTTTTCACTCAATGTTCTAATCATATTCCAGGAAACAACACGAGTTCGAGTGATGATCCAGGGTCTCCCATGGAGATTTCTGTGCGGAAGAAAAACGCCAGAAGGTCAAGAGGACCTCGATCCAATATTTCTTCACATCCTCTCGGAACTTATGACAGGTCTTTGTCAAAATCCGAAATGAAAGTTCAGCGATGCGCTTCCGGGTCCAGAAGACTCGCCGACGAAACATCGTTTGTCAGGTGCGCGAATTACTCTTGTGCCATTTTTAAATTTATTTGACGCTTTCTGGTATGACAGGATAACATTCCAATGCATTACGTTTTTCTTCAATTTCTGCTCAATTAAATATAGTGGGATTTACGGATCTTCCCGAGTTTCGACAGGACTCGGCCAACAACACTCACCAATTTACGCGGCAGCAAGCCACGAAATTAGCGAACTGGAAGCTGAAATGGTCCACTCCAATGACGATGTGGAACTGGATGCCCGGATCCGGACATTGAGAGCACAGCATGATTTGGCAGTTAAATCACTCACCAAGGGGTTGTATTCCAGCCAACCACACCCACATCCAGGAAACCAACAACAACAACCCCGAGCATCCCGGGATTCGGGTTTCCCTATAGATGTATGACAAGAGGACTTCGAAGACCGGGTGTCGTTTGATAGCGACGACGAGCGACATCTACCCGGTCTTTGAAGTGATGTGAATACGCTCGTTTCTCTTTTTCCACGTGTGAACGCGCTTTGAGAATATGCAAGCGTGACATCTACAAGTTTTTAACAAAAACAATGTTGCGTTTTTTCGGTGCTTCCCTGGTGGAGCGAGGCATATGTGGTGTAATACTGTAATATGGAAACCTAGGGAAAATTGAGTTCTTTTCGAAGCAACGACCGAATTTTTCATTGCCATGATTTTTTTTCATGCAAGACTGGTGTGAGGATTTTGGTTCGAAAGTTTTGCCTGGTTTGAGGTCATCGAATATTTCGAATTGATCCTCAATGGTATATCTGAAGATATATTCAAAGTTTTCGATTTCTCACGAACTTGATCCACCTCATGCGTACTTGAATATTCGAATAATTTTTGGTTAGGGGTTAGGGAGGGTGCATTTGAAGGTTAAACTGAGTAGATGGAGATA